TGCGGGCTGTGGTCAATGAGTGACTCAGTGCATGGTAAAAAGATAGAGCAAAATGGATCATGTATTAATCAAAACGTAGTCAAGACCATGAGCATCAAAATGATATACAACATGCACGTATCTCTAGAACGTATTTTTGTATCAACAAACAGATTCATTTTTAAAAAAATTTTAATTTTCTTAATTTTTTGAAAATTTTCAAGTTTGTCGCCACTTATACTCATGTGCTTTTCGGTTGATTTAAAGAAACTGGCAACACAGAAAGTCTTATATCAACGTCGATTACAAGCTCTGAAAGTTTCAGGCGATTTGAAGATACTTGTGTATATTCTAGTAGAGACCCCATGGAAATACACGTGTAAAATACTATTTACTCAATCTTGGAAATAATACAAATCTATTTTATCTGAGTGACTAACCTAAAAATCCACTTGAAATCGCTGCAACACCATTTCCCATCGTTATCGGCCAGTTTTCTTTTAGAGGTAACGTTTGAATTATTTCTAAGCGTCTCCAACCAACACTATTATATTCATGTTGGTTCAATAGAATTTGTTCATATGAAATATCTTGAGCAGTACTATCTCGTTCATAGATAAATTCATTGATACTTTGATTTCGTCGAATGACCTGTACACGGTTTGGTTGAGTCATTTTATTAAATTAAAATAATCTACAATAAAATTTATTCATCTTTTTTATTTTCATTAAAATTTTCTTTAGTTAAAAATATTTTTTTCTCTTTTAATAATTGTTCTATTCGGCTTTTTAATTGTAAAATATTTTCTTGTCGTCGACAAGCTTCTAATGATAAATCAATTGTTTGTTGAAAAGATTTTTGACTTTGTTTTAATGCCAATGGACTTAACAAACCAAACCATTTCAACGCATCGTCACTATGTTCTTTGTCCATATTTTTCTCAATATTAAATGGTGATGATGTCATAGATATTTTTGTCGAAGCTATCATTGGATCTTTTTCAGAATATTGCAAACGTGAAAGATTATTAACACCCATTATAATGCGTGCACGCGAAATATTAAAATAGCCTTGTTTAATTGTATCATCAAGTAATGTTTTACAAGCAAGTAAATGACCAAATTCTTCAAGATAATCAACGGTTAACTTATCTATTTGTTCGCAGAGAGCATCCATTGAAAATAAATAATAAAAATGTGAATATACATTTACAGCTGATTATCAGTGTTAGTCGTGAGTAATTCCCATTTGTTTAAAAATGAGCCAATCAGGTGCTTTCAAGCTGGTGCGCCGTTTTTGTTGCTCGGCTTTTGTATTTATCATCATGTGGTAAACTGTTACGAAACGTACGATTTCGAAAAACAAGTCACCTGATTCATACTATGAAGAAGGTTCGTAGATACTACAATGAATATGAGGCAATGTACTATCATTCCGCTATTTGTTAAAATTCAAACTAATGCTGATGATTCAATTATTGATGTTCTGCGGCTATTTGGATATTTTGACATGAGTCTAAATGATTTTAGTTTGAGAATAAGCTTTTTATTTTAATAGACCAGGATAGAGCACTAATGATTTTTGTTTAACACACAAGTGAACCTCGTAGAAGTTGACGTATAAACTATGTTTAAAAAAACTTTTATATAATCAAAGATTATTTATTTTATAATATATACGTAATTAATTATTAGTGAAGTCTATAAAGAACAACTGAAAGATTTGTTGATAAAATGTAGATTAAATATTTGTTCTCGGTTATGCTACTTGGTAGGATCACAAAAGAATTGTACAGCAGAAAGATATTGTACAGTATGAGTTGAGTAAAAGAAAGATTGTATGGTATCATTCGTTCTTTTATGGAAACTGATTTAATGTAATAGGAAGTGACTAGAGTTTGCAATGGACAAAGATAGATTTAAAGTATTTATATTTTTTGAGAGGTTTTCTTTCAGATTATCTGGGATCGTTGAATGTTAGCATTAATTATAAGTATTTCTTTTTATCATTTTTGCGTGAAAATTATGGATGACGAAGTGGCTCTTCATAGATGCACGACATTGATTATTTAATATTTTCTTTTATTTCTTCAGTGCTTTTTTTCTAACATATCTTCTTACAAGCTGATCTGCCTTTAAACTCTCTCAATATAGCTTCCCCTCTATACACGTCTGTTTTCCTTGAATCAACGAGATCATTCGTTTTGTAACTAAGGAAAAGAAGAAATGAACTGAATGTACCTACTGGATGTCCTACTTTTCGCGATACCTGATACTAAAAATATTGTTTATTATTGCGGCAGAGTCATAAAAATACTACCATACTATCAGTTCTATAGTGGCAATTAAGTGAGCAAATCATTGATTTTTATAGAATACAATTCTATGGATCATATCGAATGAAGCGCGCATATCTAAGAGCATCGTTTTCAGATAGGATTTTTTCCAATTAAAGCTTTGACTAATTTAAGAGTTTATTATTTATAAATAGAAATGGTTGACTCAATTGATACATCATGTTAAATAAAATATACATAATATATGGAAAAATAGTAACCATTGATAAATTAATAACATATGACATAGTTGATAGCTAAACAATTGTTTCATAAATATTTATTTAAATAATCCACACATGATAATCATGTTATTCTTAAGTCCTGTTTTTATCTCGTTATTGATGACCACTCTGACTCCATTAAATTGAGAATCATAAAAAGAATCAGTAAAGTGTGCTATCATTCAGTTACTTCATCGAAGCATTAGACTGATAAATTTAGTCTTTTTCAGTTTAAAAAAATTTATTCGTATAGAACAAACCGAGCATAATCAAGTACGATCCTGTACTTCATAAATCAGCATTTCAAGCTTTCGATTAATTCTCACGAATAGCCAGCCGCAGTTGTTACAGTCCATGAGAAGAAATACTTAACATTGATTGAACATAAATGGTTATTGATATTGCATTTAAAATCAGATATACGTATATTGATAGATTGTTAATGGAAAATTTTTTTCCAATTTGTTAAGAAAATAGAACTGAAAAGTTTTCTGTTTTTGTCAAAAAGACAATGGCATGTGAACAAAACAAGACTGAATGCTTTTCTTCCTCTCTATTCTTATCATTACATATCTATTTTCTTTTCTTCTATTTTTAGGTGATGAAAGAAATCATTTCTGTTCTTGAACTATATTCGTTAAGAAAAGATCGATTGACAGTTTTCTTTGTATTATTTGTATTTCTTTTTATTTATTGTCAATGATTAATATATTTTTCATTTCTCGTTGCTGCATATTGCTTTGTTCTATTTTTTTGACTTTGATTGAGAACTTGATTAGGCGGTATGGTAAATAAAAATCAATGTTCTTTTCATATGTCTAGAAAACATCATTATAATCCGAACAAGAAAGAAAATAGATATTTACGAATATGACGGAACCGACAATTATTCCTGCAAGTGAAAAACATACAGCAACGGTAAATGTTTGACGTCGGATTTTTTTCGGTCTGTGATTATATGTTTTTATTTTCATTTAGATTATCTTCTTACATGGCTTAGGTGACGTTGGGTAGGAGACAGACACTTCAATTATATATATTTAAGTGTTTCGAGATCGTTTATAGAAAAACTTGGCAAGACGAATTTCTTATGTTTGCAACAACGAAAAACTTACCACATGTTAAATGTATTTTTCCCACAGCGTAAATAATGAATGTTAGTGTTTGTTTATGGTGAAGTAACATTTCGATTTATTATTAGCTCAATTATGAAAATATCGAAAAATTATGGCGAACTTATGACTAGTTGTAAGTGATGATATGAGCGGTGCTTGCTTAAATGAATTTTTTTCAATAGGGTTTGATGTTTATGGTTTTGATACGAATGCTACAGAAGATCAAGCAAGTATCGAAAAAGCATCAGAATTTTGTAAAATCTTTGATTGATGATAATGACTTTATTTTCATTGCTTTTTCGTGTCTAGTAAATAACATGATTGAAGAAGAAATGAAAAATGGCATTTCATCTGAACGTATAGTAAGTGAAGAAAGATTAATATCATTCATTTTTCTTCTTCTTTTTTTTTCTCTCGTGTCATTTTAGATTATTGGAGGATTTTCAATGTAAGCATTAGTTCTAATTCTTTTTTCTTTCCCTTCATCATTTTTTGTAATTACGACAACCAGGGGTGGTGCTGTGGCTCTTCATACAGGTATGCCATTGGTTATTTTACCTTTTTAAAATTCTTTTTCGTTGCTTTTCCTCTAGCATTGGTGTCTGCTCATAAATTTGGCGGTATTTTAGCTCTTTCAGCATGGCTTCCTCTATCAAGTACTTTTCCTCAAGTTAGCTTTATTGTGTAATAATAAAAGTCAAACATATCATTTGTTTTTATTTTCATAGGCACTTGTAAATGGAGATAAAAAACTTGATTTACCTATTCTTCATTGTCATGGTATATTTGATATTGGAAAGAGTAATCTAAAAATATTATTTATCGTCATACATAGGTAATAAAGATGAAATAATACATATTGATCGGGCTCGATTAAGTGAAGGCAAATTTAAATCAATGGGTTTTAAAGACTACAATTTCAAAGAGTACGATGGAATGGAACATACGAATTATGAAGAAGTAAGGAGTTTCTTCGTTTTGTTCTGTTTCATAAATAGAAATTCTGATTCATCGAGCATTATCTTAATTTGATTGATTACATGACAAATTATAGAGAGATAATTTTAATCAGTGGATTACATGTATGATGGAGTTCAATTGATTTTTTATACATAATCGAAAATAATAAATATGAATTCATTCGTATTTGGGTGAAAATATGGAGACCCAGTCACTTTTTGGAAAAGTTTTTTTTTTCGATCTTTTTTCAGTCGAAATTTCCGGTATGCTGTAGAAAACACTTTTGATGAAAAAAAATGGGTACTTGTATCCGAAATTGTGGGAGATCCAGAGTATTCTTTAGGAACGTCTCAGCTTTCTCATGCGCACTCAACCGTGAAAGTGTGAGAGTCTCAGAAAAGTTCCTACAGAGTTTATTTTGTAGANACCCATTTTTTTTCATCAAAAGTGTTTTCTACAGCATACCGGAAATTTCGACTGAAAAAAGATCGAAAAAAAAACTTTTCCAAAAAGTGACTGGGTCTCCATATTTTCACCCATTTATCATTTTCGAAAATCGAACTAAAATTACGAGAGAGAAAAATATAAAATTTCAACTACTATTGTCAAAGCTAGTTGATAATCTGTTTATCGATTGCTTTCTCTATGATGAGTACATGCCGAAGAATGACATCATTCTATTTATTACTCGTTCTGATCAAAAACAAAAATATTCTTAAAACAAAAATATCAGTCTTGCTAGTCGGAAGAAGTATTCAATAGCTCTGTAGAGATAAGATGCATCAAGTATAACAGGCAAGTACAGACTGATTAAAATTTAATCAAAGATTAGTCTGGTAGATTTATCTTTCCTCGATGTCTTTAGAGCAAAACACGCAAAAGAAGAAGATAATATTCAAGTTGTTCTGTCTTATTCTTTAAACACGAGTCTCGTTAGCTTGGTACTTACTTTCGAATGAATACATTCAGCGATTAAACCAATTAAACTAGAGCAATACTTATTACTAATTGGATTTGAGCGTCTATGACATCTTATGAGCAATTCAAAGATGTTTTGTTTCGATAGTCGAACTTTGAAATTCTCTTGACTTAATTGATAGAATGAGAAAATCTTTCATATGATATAACAGAAAATTTAATGATAAAGAAAAGCACTCCATACTACTTATGCAAAACCGACATGCGAAACTGTATTGTCGTGACGTATTACATTCGTAAAAGCAATAATTATTAGTCTTTTGATGAGAGCGGTCTATTTTTAATTTGTAGCATTTGAAATATATCAGTAATTCTTTTAACTCTACGCATGTAATTAAAAACAATTGTGTATGCTAAAAGAAACTAACAGTGTTTTATACGTTAAGCAAATTGACACGAACAGCCAACGGGTAAAGCATAAAAATCCTGTGAGAATTGTTCGTAGGAAGAAAAGAAACACTATGCCTCGATATAGTCACAATGTGGCCATGAAGCGAGTCTAGACGCTATATTTTTCTGCTATTACACTAATTCATATATTTTTTTCTTTGTAGGAAATGAAAGATATAGCTGCTTTTCTCGAACAACATCTACCCAAAAGCAGCGATTAGTTATAAATTGATCATGGACTTTTGTGTTGACTTTTTTTTTTCTTAATAATTTTTTTCTTGTTTTTTTTTAACTAATATAAAACTACATTTTTTTCAAACAGATTCGTATGTTTTTAGTTGTTGCCTTATTTTGAATGGGAAATTCATGTTCGACGTTATGGCCTTTAAATATCTGTTTGAAATCATCAGAAACATCACAATCAGAGGATGAACGTAGTGTCCCAAAGAGAATGACTAATTCCTTAGTTGTTTCTTCAACTGTAAAGCATACAGCTACTGTAAGTAGTTAAATTGTTATGTTAGAAAATATTATAATTTTTCTTCTAATTAGATTATTTTCTTACATGGCCTTGGTGATGTGGGGTGCGAAAGCGAGTTTTCATTTATTTTATATGTTTAACATCACACCTGCTTTCTTTTTATCATTGTTTAGCGGGAGTTGGCATGATGTATTTAATATGTATCGTATTGCAAAATCTGTGCCATACGCAAAATTTATTTTCCCGACAGCGTAAGATAAATCTATTCATTTAAACTTTCTTTTGTTTTGTAAAACAAGAGCTACGAAAATTGTAGAAGTAGAACGAAAAACTATCATTGAGATTATTGAGAACAGTTCGATCGTATTTTAGATTTTTATGCTGTACGAATTACAAAAATAGATTTTTTTTCATAAATGTTTTATTTTTATATATAGTCCGACACAAAAAGTAACTTTAAATCTTGGAATGTCGATGACAACTTGTAAGTTCCTAAACTGAAGATTTTCAATATAATAGAATAATTTCAATAGGGTTCGATATCTATGGACTTGATCCAAGCGTTAAAGAAGATCAAGATGGCATTGAAAAGTCGTGCATGTTTTGTTAGTCGTTTTCTCTTTATCTTGATTATCATATTTCTAAATACTATATATATATATGTATTTTATTTTTAAGTAAGCAATCTTATTGAAGAAGAAATTAAAAATGGAATTCTACCGGAACGAATTGTAAGCATGAAAATTTCATAGAAATTTCATTCATTATTTTTTTGTTTTTATATTCGATTCCAGATGATCGGTGGTTTTTCTATGTAAGTTTTAATTTCATTATTTTTTTCTATATATGTAACTTTTTTAATTAGGGGTGGTGCTGTTGCTCTTTACGCCGGTAAAATTTTTATAGTTATGGTATATTTTCTTTGGTCCTATTTGTTCCTTTTATTTTTATAGCGCTGACATCTCCTCACACACTTGGAGGCATTATAGCTTTATCAACATGGCTTCCTCTATCATCAACATTTCCTCAAGTTAGTATTTTTTTATTTAATGAAATATATATTAAAATATATATTCACTATTAGGCACTTGTATCAGGTGATATCAAAGTTGATTTACCAATTATTCAATGTCATGGTAAATCCCAAGCGAAGGATAAATATTCATAGGTTTTTCTTCTTTCATAATACGTAGGCGATCAAGACCCATTGGTTCAATTGAGATGGGCTCGCATGACTGAACAAAGAATTAAAGCAATGGGCTTTAAACATTATACATTTAAAGAATATAGTGATATGGGACATTCATCATGTGGTCGAGTAAGAAATATTTATCAACTGAATCTTCTAAATTAGGCTAGAATATATTTTAGGAAATGAAGGATGTTAGCTCATTCATTGTACAGCATTTACCAAATATAGATTGAAAAACAACAACAACAATAGCTTGTAGTTATTTTTCTATATGCTTATAAGATTGATTTGTATTTGAGTATTGATTTAGTCTATGTATATGATTGTATATCAGTGTGATTTTGTTGTGGATATTATGAGATCTCACATGAGAGTATTGGTCGAATAATAAATAATGAATGGTCGTTAATTTATATCGATAAAATAGACTGATGGCTCAGGGATTCAAATCAGTATAAACAATTTTCAAAATTCTTTTTTTCGTTTATATTTACTACGAAGATTGTTTCCGCTGTTCAGTAAAACATGCCTTTGTTGTCTCTCGACAGTTTTGAATATGAGCGAATTTTATTGTAAAACAAAATGAAAATGAAAAAGATCATTCGATATCATCACCACCAATCAAAAATCCGTTCTTACGCATCGGTGCTTTATCCCAATGGTCAGTAATTCCAGCTGTAAAGTCGCTTCGTACGACCTTTCCACGATTAATAACTTGTCCGTTTTGTTCTTCTTTAACATAGATACCTTCGACTGGACCATCGTAGAATTGTGATGGACGTTGAACCATTTCCTTTAAAACAGCGTCAGTTGGTCTTGGTCCTCGATACATAATATGTACTAAGGATATCTTCGTTTCTGCAAGTAATCGTTCGAGTGTATCACGGTCGGCCCATGTTTGTGTTTGACGATCATATAAATCGAATGCAAGAAATCGATCGGGTAATCTTGTATAAGGTATTGAATGTGTTGCTACAAGCCATTCACCGTAGAGAATATATCGTTCGGGAAATGAATTATCACGATCGAGAACATGATAAAGACCTTCACGATGTGTTTCAATCCAATTATAAAGAGGGCGAAATTGTGCGTGTGCTGTTGATGTAATATAATGGGAACGATTTTGTACAAGTAATTCTCTATCAGCTGACAATGAAAAACCCATATTAGCACCATCCACTTTTTCCGTAATAATAACATGTGGTGTATGATTTGATTGATTGAATGATACTAAAAAATCATCTGCGGTTGCAGCACCTAAATTCACAAGATGACCTGTCCGTAGAAATTTTAGAATTCTGATTGGTGCTAACCGTCTGATTAGATCATCGGCTGCATAAAATGATCGTACAATACATATGGCAACAAATCCTTCATTAAGTTTTGGTCTTTCCATTTGTCGATGCATACTTTGTACCGCTGTTCTTACACGTTGACCTGGCGTAAGTGTTGGATGGTCGGTACGTTGTTGTGCACGTGATACACATAATTCGGGGTTATAATCAAAATAAACACAAATGGGTTTTTTTGCCCACTGTGCAATTCCAAGCCATTCTTTTCGATCTGCTCGATCTGGATTACAACGATCCAGAATGACTTTAGAATATTTTCCTGGTCGACCTAATTCACGTTCACATGTATCACGTGAACCTGTTTCATCTTGAGAAATAATTGTCCACTGTTCATCTCGCGTTAATATCATTCTAGCTACATGAGATTTTCCTGAGCCAGGTACACCGCAAAGCATTATTAAATCAATGTTTCCATCTAATTGTCCTTCGATTTCAAGTGGAAGTCCGTCTGGTTCATCTGGTAATGGTGGCAGTGCAGCTTGTCGTTTCCATACAGCACTAACATACGTATGAACGAATCGTTCTTGTTGGTCTGTTTCAATACTGCCAGGTCTTAATTGTCGTAGTTTCTCTACAGCTTCAGCAGCTGACATAAACGGTTGTCTCCATTCTTGAGCCGATGGTGCTTGAAAACCGTAAATAGCTAAATAGCAAGCAATCATGGTACCTGCTCGACCTTTTCCACCACCGCAATGAACCAATAAAGGTGTTTTCGTTGGATCATTAACTAATCTAAAGAATATATCAACTTGTTCAATTGTTGGGGGTTGATAATTTTCGACAGGAAGATGTGTGTGTGAAATTGTTTTATTAAAAAACCATTCTTCAGGTAACGGCGTCTCTTCGGTTAATGTAATAATATGTCGAATACCAATATGAGCAGACGCAAGAGCATCGATGTCACGTTCATGTCGAGGAGTAGACATGACTGATAGAAAAAATGGAACAATCCAACGAAAGAATCGTGGTAACGAAAACATTTCTAAATAAGAAAAATAAACATCTTTTTGCTTAGCTGAATGATTCTAATATGCTTTGAAATATTTTAAATCTATTGTTATATCTGTCCAAGACTTAGTTATATTAGAAAAATTTTTCAGTACAATAGTTATAGACATTAGAACTAGTATGATCTTTTAGAGAAAAATCTTTCAACAGATTATTCGCTCTGAAGTAAACACTATGGGCATCGTATAGGTATTTATAGAATTGAAAGTTCTAAACATTTTCAAAGAATTAGATTTTATTTCTCATATCGAATAGACTAACTCAAAGATGTCGCTATAAAATTGTAACTTTCTCTATTATATGTTGTCCAAACCGTAAATATATCATTCATTCTCTTATGATATTCTATTATTCTTCTATTGATATAAGTCATTTTCATTTCAAACGAACAAAAATATCTAATTACCTAAATTTCCATTTCTTTGGCGTGGATCAATAAACGGTACAAAAAGATGTTCACGTGAGAGTTGTTGATATTGTGGTTGTTCATCGGAATAGATATTGACAAATCGCTGTCTCATTGTTTGTGTCCATGGTGTCAACAAACTCATTTTTAATTCTTCCGGAATTTGATCTAATTCATTTTCACCAAAAAGACATTCCCATTCCGTATACATCGATGCACAATTTAAAATCTTTTTATAACAATAGTCGTGAATTTTTTCATTTTCTTGTTCATCAATATGATGCATAGTTCGTGCATAAGCTAACATGGCTAATTTACATTGTTCATTTCGTCGTGTAATATCAGCTAAACGTAGCCAACTTTTTTCCGAATCAGGAAACCGGATGCACATTTCACGTGCATAGATAAACGCTTGATCATGTTGATCAGATATATTAGAGTATAAAACAAGATGATCAAGAGTATTTAAATCAAGAGTATCAATCGATAATGTCGTATGTAATGAATGAAGACTTTTATCAGGTGTATGATCATCATGATCACTCAATGTTATATGAAATTGCTTACATGGCAAACCATATTTTTTTCGAAAAATATTTCCTGCATTCCAAATGATTACAACCCAGCATACACCGTTTGGATGACCACCAACACCAAGAGATAATATATTTCTTGTGTCGATTGTTGCAGCATTTTCATTTAAACGATCAATTTTATTGGATGAATCTGTTGATAATTGACGTAGTTCATCCTTAGTTAATAGAGTTATGTGATATGGTGATGATGGTACAATAGTAACACCAGCAGCAGTAGCGACTTCCCGAGCGATACTATCAATACGAGGACCAAATACGCCCATAAAACCACCACCACGCTTTATAGATATATCATTTTCAGCCATAATGACACTTTTGTATTACTAAGAATAAAATCGAAAGAATAACTTCTAGTAGTTCAAGATAAAAATCAAAAAATCTGATTATTTACCGATGATCAATAATAAAACTGTATCTGACAGTAGAAAAAATAGTATGCTTAATATTACATAGAATTGACTCTATGCTTATGCTTAATATATAAAATTGTTTGCTTGCAAAATTTCGAAATGACTGTTATTTATGATGTTATTGCACAAGTCAGATATTTGCACATCATAACCACACATGTGTAATGTATTGCGCAATAACATGTTTATGGCTATTTTCTGTTCTTGTTTTGACTTTCTCGTGTAGCCAAATATGATAGAACGAAGAATAAAATGATTCATAGCAACAGAAGCAAAAGCAAGAAAACAAAGAACAGCAATTACGATTTCGTTACTAAACAACTTGATAAAATAACAGTTGAACGAATTTGAATTCGTTGTAGGATGGCCATTATCAAGTGTTTTTCGTTCAGAGATCTCTTTTGAAAGTATTATCAGAGTACACCGTAAGATTTTTCAAAGGATTTTCTTGTATTAAATCAACTGGATAAACCGTCGGATCACTATCCGAAAAACGATTACGAGGTGAAATTGAAAACTATAATGATCACGAAAATAAGTCTTATGTGGTTTGTCTAGATTTCATTATAAAATAGCGATATGTCACTAAACAATGTATTAGTTTCAATTAAATTAAAAATAATAACGAGTAATAAACTTTGCATATCTGTTTTCCGATAGAATAGAGTAATAAAACAACAAAAGTAAAAGGTCGTGCGGAAAAAAAGTATTACTTGTCAAATGAATGAGTAAATTCGATAAGGACTACATCGATTTTAGAATAAAAACAATTGTGTAGTAAAATATAAATATTTCTTTATTCTTTAGAGTCAGAATAAAAATAAAAACTTTCGATTGTCTTTATTAGAGAAGCGCAAACTTAACCAATATAAGCAATGTGTGAATGTTGTGAGCGACTTATTGCTGCAGTAGCAATCACGCCAGCATTAAAATGAAGAAAAGTATCAATGGGTGCTGCCATTGCATAATCCGCTACGATTTGATCACGTGTCGAACCTGCCGCTCGCAAGCATAGATAGATAGGACCGAAGATAATACATAAACATGAAACAACACATAAAACACGCACTAATGTTGAGTTTGAAAACCGACTCAGTGTTGATGGTGAACGAGCCGATATTCGATGATTTCCCATAGGGAAAGTCTAAGATAATAAACAAAACGATTCATCATGAATCAAAATCGTATTTTATACAACTTACAATAGTAATATGATTTCGATAGCCAGTTGAATAAATCAAAGCTTTAATTTTATTCTGCAATTCTTGAAAATTCCATCCAACAACTTGTTTTTGGCATGTGATCTCTTTAATACTTTTGTCAGAACGTGTATATTGTTCAAGAGCTTCTCTGAATAAAACAACTTCACCGGCTGCGGCCGCTTTCTTCGATGGGATAACAGCAACACGCCACCATTGTTGAGTTACATATGGTGCTAAATCAACATTAATATTAAAATCAGTCACATTACGGGTATGATGGACAGCATGGCTATGATAACTACCATCAGCGGCTTGACGTCTTTCATACGTAGTATAGTGCTACGAATAATACAAACATGCAGTTATTCTTTTAATGTATAGTTATATTTAGATTTATACAATACTTCAACATGATAACCATGAATGTTGACAGTTAAAGATGGCTTTTCATTAAGATAAGTCATAAAATAAAGCCATAGTTGATCAGGATTCTTATCAACAAGTGGATCAAATGACATAACACCCTCACTTTTACGTTCAACTTTTGCATTTGATGGTTGAGTATATGGAGTAACTTCATTATAATGTAGAACAACATTGTTGGGCACGATTGATATATCATAGTAGTTTGGTGGTAAATCACCTGGATCAGGAGCCGATGGTGGTGGATATGCGTTATCATTTGGCGCACCTTTATCATCATTTGGTACTAGGAAATTTCTCTCTGAACTCGAAGTAGGATCTGACGGAACCGTCCATATAGTTGTATTAGCTGATGGATTTTGTTCACCGGTAAAACCAACTGGTACAGTGCCATAATTCGACATCTTACATGTGAAATTCTCTTCTTCAATGTATTCTTCTCAAACGCTGGTTTATATAAACGTGTTAGATAAAATGATAACATGAATATTTACACAAGAATCTTTTATATCAATTTGATTCAGAAACAATGAGATTTCAGTCATGTTGTGCAAGATATCTATGACGTATTTACTGTTTGAAACTATCAACGTAGGCTCTGACAAGACAAAAACCACATAACTCACGTAGTCGTTAAATTTTTGAAAATTGGCTGGCGAGCAACCGTTGTCATTTTTGTTGTTGCAATAAATGTCGTATAATCTTACTCTTTAAAATCATTGAAATTCCAATGAACAAAATATTTAAAAAATTATCATTATCAATCAGTTATCATAAGGCGCATTAAATTAAGAACAGTTTAATTTCTGGAGCTCATACGTTTTGATGTTGAGTTTCTCAAGCGAATTAAACATTAGATAAAGTTCGCATTATTGAATTTCTAGTTATATTTAACGCAGACTCTATGCCCAAATGTTTGTCTACAGGAACATATGAAATATGAATACAGGGGCATTTGACTTTGGTTTTAATGTGAATTTTCATGAAGCTATACGCGTGCATAGTAGGAGGTATTTTCTTAGCTACTGATATGAGTTTCGACCGTAGTTATGTATGTAAAATTCTCAAGCTTTATTAAATTCAATGGAGAAAATTCAGCTTATTGTTATGATATTTGATTTTCTGCTTCTAGTGTTGTGTATGTACTGTTTTAACATTATCTGAATAGTGTTCTTGTAATAAATAGTTAAATATATTACTGACAAATATAGAAAGTATATCATCGATATAGATAAAGAATGATTGAACAAAAAAATCTGTGTAAGCCGTGTCTATAATATTAAAATCTAAAATATTCTATCGATTGTAAGTCATATATATTCACTATTTGGTTAAATTCACATGAACCAAACTAGGAGTGACACTTTAACTTTACTTTAGAAATTAAAGTTTAAAGTCTACTTTAAACTTTAAGAGTAAAAGTTAAAGTATAACACTTTAAAACTTTAACTTTAATAAACAGAGTTTAAAGTCACTGTAAAAACCATATAGAACCGTACATAAAGAGCTAAAAATTACTTCTCATTTTTACACTACCTTTATTAAAGTTAAAGTTTAAAGTAAAAGTTCCACCCGGAAACCAAACCGCATTGTAACGAAGTCATCATCGATTTTGATAGAACTCTCAATATTTTGAACAACGATAAAATAAATTTTTGATCAACATTGTTCGGTAATATAATTAAGTAAGCACCACAAACTATTTCGAGCTCATGTCAACTTTGATTTCTCTTTGGAAAAGCTCAAAACTCGGTGAGCTTTCTCGTTCCTGATAACTTGCTGCTAATAATAGAGCCCAAATCAAGGGGGAAACAACCGACTTTTGGACTTGAAGTGACTTAGAGCTACTTTACGCTACTTCGACTTACTTCGAAGTACTTGAAGCTACTTCAAGTAGTTTACTTTGACGTACTTTTGTACTTCAAGTCCGCTGTTTCCCCCTTGGCCCAGATCGATAATGATAGCACGATACCAGCAGAGAGATACTTCTAGAATATGGTGAAACTCGGAGCCACAAAGGTTTCTAACAGGAAAACTGTCTCGCAATTTCGTATTTTTCTATGCTTCTTTTCTGAATCCCAGAATTTACCCACATTAATGTTTTACATTGTCTTAATTGGAAATCTGGTCGAGATTTCTCAAGGAGAGAAAAGCGCGACTTCCGTACTTCGAAGTACGAAGGGAGTACGTGGAAGTATAACGGGAGTACAAGGGAAGTACGGAAGTCACGCTTTCCCCTCGTTTATAATTCCTGATATTTTAATAGTGAATGACAGAACATTACGCCATCAAATTATCTGAAAATATTATCGTGATTCGCGGATTATTAGTAACAAGCATATGGATGTTTTTAGACGAAGATATCGTTGAAACCTGAAAAGCAACTGATTAAAAAAACATAAATATATATATATGCATAGTTATATTATACACGTATACTGATTATCAAAAAAGAAATAACACTAAACATTACTTACGAATAAAATCAGTTAAAATGATACTAAAATATACGCTATAAAAATGTTTGACAAAATAAAAATTGCTTTCAAACAAATATCATATTAATTGAGTATTTTCCGATCGGATTTCATATCAGTTAACTACAACTAATGCTCATCGAGAATCGATTCACTTGGTCCTAGACTGAATGAGCACACAACTGTGGTGAGTTAGATATAAATAAAGTGGTAGAAAGTAAAACCATGATAAAATTAAAAGAATAACAAAAGCTTTTAGATAACCGTTCTACAAAAAGACTTTGAATTGCAGCAAAGCCGTTCTGCATCTATCATTCTCGTCTTTTACGCCATATCTCGGAACGTAGTACTTTGTACCACAGTTTAACTGCGTGTCATTTGTATCATGTTAATCACGTGATATGTATGTTACACACAGACCGATTCCGATAAATTCACATTTTTAGACTCTATCTTTTCAATCTAGAGAACATGACGTGGCAATTCGCGTTCATCAAACCTCGATCTATTAACAACAGATATTGATCTATCTTAAAATTTTGTTAATTTCACTGAAGTGACGGTTCATTCTCGAAAGAGATAAACTTTTTCTTTGCACAATTACTGTGAATAGTTTTTATGGTTCAACATCTATTCTTGCTTATGGTAATCTAATCATTGAGAAAAGAAATGAAATGAATGATGTTTGTTATACGTGTATTATGATATCTGCGTCTCTTTTCTCAATGCTTCAATTAGCAAGTATAACATCAATTAAAGATTGATGTCTTCCTATAGAACGCGTGCGCAGGCTTTACGAGAAAAACAAATACAGAAGACATTCGCACCTGAATTTTTATAATGAATGATGCGATTCTGTTGAAGAGAGCTGTGAAGTATTCCATATTTATTTTCTGACGAGTGTCGTATGCGAGCTGCTTTACTATACGCCTCGTTTTAGATGCATTTATATGAACCTAATATAGGCGATGTAGAAAAAAACAAGTTTGCTTAATAACGATTCTGTCTGTTAACAGAAGAAAAGCCTTTTTCAGATAGTTAAATGTTGAATAAATATAAAGATTTATATAGAAGAGAAACGCATCGTAGCAGTAGTATGAAGCCTTTGCATTAAGCGATTGTACTCCTTGGTATCGATTCGAAAGATTGGCAATGTTGTCGATCAGCATATTATCAAATTTCATGATCTTACATACAGTGACCAAGTTACCTCAAATCAATCTTCACCTAACAGATTCGATTGATGAAGCCGATGGTAACCATCCATTACAACACAATTGCTTATACGTTAATATTCCTCTTAAGAATAAAAATGATACTCGTCAGATTATGTTCTATTGTTTGAGTGAATGGCTATCGAATTTGAATATACAGAAAAATAATCGTGATCATATCTTTACTTTTGAAATGTTCTATCAGCAAGGCATAACTAGTTTGGAACTTTACACTTGGTCGGCATCGATGGATGTGATTGAACGTTAAGAATACTACATTCAACATATTACAATCTCAAACATCACACCAATGGCTACACATCTCTTTTACAATTGTACAGAGTCAAAATTCGGTCTGATGTGTCAATATAGCTTCAATGACTACGAATCTTATCATTTATCATTGAATGAAATCGTCGAGCATTCTTTTATGCAAAAATCTGAATTGAAAACATTGACATGTTATATTCATCTTCACTGTAATCCTGGTACCACTATGGTATGTCTGGGTTGGAGTGAAATTTGTGACGGAAAAGTTGATTGTATTGATGGCTGACGTGACGAGGAGAATTGTTGGCAACTTGAAATCAACGACTGTGAAAATGATGAATATAGATGTGCGAATGGGCAATGCATACCAAATAGATTCTTTCGTGATGATCCTAATATTGAAAGGCAAGTTCAAAGATGTAAATTTAATGGCATTGAACGTTCTGATTGACCACTTCGAGATTCTGTGATATTTGGTATTTGTGAGAAAATAAAATTTTCATTACTTTGGCGACAAAAAAGTAGTATGACAAAACTGTTGCAGTTGATATCAAAGAGATACGATGATCAATCAGTATTTTTAAAAATTCCCATGCAACATTGATATTATTTCAAAAAATTGATAATGCTTTCGGCTGGAACAATCGAAATAGTTTCTAGCAGGTCATGAGTTATAGCCGATGATAAGTACAGTTGTTAGGTTTTTTTTTATTGTTCTCATCTTACACAATTATTCTTCTGAAAGGCTTTCTTTTTTTTATAACAATGCTTGAATAGGCTCAACGACGTTGAAGTAAATAGTCATTGTAATTCGAATAACATATTTGATTGCTTCTATGTATTTTTGGATTCATTGTGTATGCTTCATGTAATTTGTCGACGTGTTGCGACCAAGCTTTGTCTGTGATCTTTTTTTTTCAAGTCTTTTGCGAGCACTATTATTTGTTAAACAGCTTGATGGAGCTTTATTTTGAGTATAATAAATCAATGGTATGAATTTTACTGTGTATACAGTAAACGGCTGATGATTAATGAGTACAATGTCAAAAGTTGAAATGTATAGCTGTGATATTTGCCTTTCACTTATGAAATATTTTACAATCAATGCATAAAAGACTAGTTGACACAAAGAGGTTCAGTTCGGCTGAATAAACTATTCTACAGAAAACCTAATTGAAAATAGGGAGATTTGAGCATTCTAGATTTCAATTCAGATCCATTCTTGTTTATTCAATGGCAACAAATCACTTGAATATGAAGAGATAAAGTATTTTAGTCAAACGACATGAGAAACATTTAAGGGGTTGGAGCAATTCACGATGCCCTATGAAAGATACTAAATAAGGCCCATGCAACAATACCCGAAACTAAATTTGCTAAAAGTTCATGAAGCGATGAGCACTTTACGACCATCACTAAAAGAAGCGAGAACTCAATTAATTAAAGATGTTCGTTACCTGAAAGTGATGAAACCAAAAGCAACTGATGCAGATTCAAATGAAAATGATTGTAATGATACAACTGATTCAGATGATCGAGCAATACAGCTATTGGATGAACAGCAATACTTATATGACGAGTAAATTTTGAAACGAAACTATCAGAGCATTGAAATTCTGAAATAAATCGAAGTATTGCTATTATGTTGTATGTTTGTTAATACACTATTTTGTTTTTACTGTTTTTAATTGTGAAATATCGACGTTTTCTTTAACCGAAAATAAAGATTGAAAAAGAAATTATGAATTTCAACTAAATATTTATGCAATCATATTAATATAACAATCATAGTTAGATAGAGAAAGAATTTCGTATGCGCCATAAAGCANACGTGATTACTTTAGATAACATTGAATAAAAATAAATTAGGAAGATTTTATAATTTTTTCGAGAAATTTATTTTGATTTATAAGCAAGTGCGATTAATTAGTTGGGTTTTAAAAACATTAATTTGAGTATAAAAATTAAAATAATTTATACCGGGAAGAAACTAATTTTTTTCATATTATTTTTTAGGTTAGCTTTAAATTAAAATCACCGTATATTCATCTAATAATAAAAATTATTTTTGGTTTATTTTAAATTATTAGAATTGATATTTAAAATAAACTAACATAATAGTATTATATGAAAAGATCTAGATGCTTCTCAATTTTTTAAATTTAGTACATCTCTTATTTTGAAAAAAAATATATAAATTAGCACTCCCAGATACGAGATGAATTTTTTTGTTAGTACTAACCCCTACTATTTTATGTTTTGATACACTCTTAAACTTTTAGCATATGCTAATGCAAAATAAAATAGAATATTTCAAGACAGGGATGCATGCAATATATTAAATCTTTTCGAATGCACTATTGATTACAGCAGACTCTCTAAGTGTCCTTCTAGGTAGAAAAAAATTCGACAAGCATTGAGTAAAATAAACACTTCTAAAAAACGGACTAGTCATGAGGTGTCCAAAAGATGCTTCAGACTAGTCAATACCGTTTACGTCGGTTTGTTTCTCATTTTCTATGCATGGATGGGAGTCAATATATAAGTTTAGACTATATATACTTACGGCAGTCTATTTCAGTATCCTAGTCTCCCGTCAGGATATCCGTCATATCTCGAACACTATCGGACTGGATGTTCAAATCCACCGTGTAACCTTTGTTTTTAATCTTCTTACTAGTCTGGACTAGGTCAACAGACAACACGGACTAGACGTGACTGGGCTCAAGGACATTTCAGACTAGTACAGACGTGTTTGTAAGACACTCCTCATTAAGCTGACTAGGCAAGACGGGTATGCAAGACATTTCAGACTAGACTTGACGGCAGCTGCGGACATTTCTGACTAGTCACGTCGGCAATCTCCCTTCGTTTTTTGCTTACTTGGGAAGACAAAGATAGAAAATTGATTCCATGGTGAATCACGTAGAAAACCAACTGATGGCTGTCCAACGACTCGTGTCATCAATAATTCATAATCATCGTAATTGCATTGCCCGTGACGGAGTCGTTCGAGCAGTTGAAGGTATCGTATATCCTCCATTCGCATTTGTTGCGTTAGTTTTACGACACAATTAATTTGAATAATTAAAGAGCGTGCGACACGTTGTTGAATTTCTTTTTCAGTGGGTAATTTAGCTGATTTCTTTTTCGACAACAATGGGAAGTCTGTGTGCAATGGTGCATCATATACAGGTTGATATTGTAAGTAATCGCCAAAGAATATGACGTTCACACCACCGAAAGGAATTTGCGGATCGACATGTTTTGCAGCAGAAATTATTCGGTTAAGTTTCACAAGAAGAGTTAAGCCAACCATACTCATCTCATCAATTAAGAGGTATTCAATGAGTATCCATTCTTTTTCGAGTTTTAAATCACCGGCTTTGATGGTGCGTGGTTTGCCAGAATTACGCTGCTCACCTAAAAATGAATGAATCGTCATACCACCTATTTCAGTCGCAGCAATTCCCGTAGGCGCAAGCTTCCGCGCCATTTGCGTTCTTTTTGTAACAAGAAAGTATTTGGTGAGAGCGCGAATCAGTTGTGATTTGCTGGTGCCACCACATCCAGGTATGCACATTATGAGCTGACCACTGTTATAACCTGAAAATATTATATGTTTCGGAATATGATTGTTTGTTATATAAGGATACCTGTGCGACATCGACTGTCACCATATAAATGACTTGTTATTATCATAAATGCAGCTCGCTGTTCTCTATTCAATGTAAATTCATTGGCAATACTTTTCTGAGTAGAAAAGCTAGTTGTAATTGAAACTACTGGAAGAATCGATCCATAATTTTCAAATATGTTTTTGTTGTAGGTGTTTGAATTGACCACAGTTATAACAGCATCTTTTGCAGCATTTAAATCCAAGACATCATCCATTCTGTCGCAATTGCCTGTAATCAAACTTCGTCTAACTCGTGCTCTCTCAGTCTTCAGCTGTTCTTGCCATTTCGTATTGAGTCGAACCAGATCGGGTGTTGCGGAAACGAACGGTACAAATTGTCGATCGGTGAGATTGATGAATTCATTGAAAGAAGATTGTTGAGATGCTATAATAAATTTTATATCATTGTTTTCTATCCTACAGATCACGTTAAAATCATACTCACAATTCATATGACTGAATCGTCCGACGTTTTCGACTGCTTCGATAGTTTCTTCAATATATTTATTTTCTGTTGATTTTTTGTTCGCGTTGGCCGTAGTAGTTGTGTATTCGTCTAAATTTCCTAGTAGTTCAAGTAACTGATCGCTGTCGTCAATATCATATTCACCATCAACACCTTGATTTGCTGACAAACGTACTGGATCGATTGCGCCATTTTCAAGTTGAGATTCAGCAATAACTTGTAGCAAATGTTTATCGCGATCCTTTTTGCATTCATGTAAAAGGTGAATATTTTCTATAATCTTCCACGAATACGTAGAAATAAGATGTTGCCGAGATTTAAGTGCATCTTCCCACGTCTGATTGCAGTCGCAAAGATCAGCAACGGGACGCCAGGGTACAAAAAGCGTGAGAAGAGCTCGACTATATCGTTCTCGAGTTTCGTCACGATCTCGTCAAGGAATTTGAGGGCCGTAAAGAATAGGTACATGAAGATTACTGTATTTTAACATTAAGTACGCTGCTGTCTGTGGGTGCTGTTTTTGAAAAGGATAACGTTCATTAGGTGGTCGACCTTTTTGGTTAACATTTTCTTCAATTCATACCGCAGTCTTGGATAAATATTTCAAGTGTGTTACATTCGTTTTTTCTTATATAATGTACTGATAAAATCATATAAACAAATATCCTTGAGAATCTCGGAGCGATATTGGTAATTAACTGTTGTGTTAACGAGTACGTATTTTTTGTCGCTTTCAGCCGATTGAATTTGAAAATGTTCTTCGTCATTATTGTCGTCGCCGTCAATAGTCTCTTCATTGTCATATACATCATCGTCTGTTACATCTATATCGGAAAATAATATAGCAGTTATTTAAATGACTTTCATTATTTCTTTTCATTCGCATATATAAGAGAAATAATACTTAGAATATTTTTTTATTGAGCCATAAGAACTCAGCCTTTTATATTCCTCAAAAACTTTGAATCATGTAGAGGATTTATTTGGAGAAGAAAATAGAAAATGACTAGATTTTTAACGATAAGTTTTTCTATCTCTGTTTTCTTCTTCTCATCAGATCTCATAATCAGTTTTGTATAACAACTACACCCAAAAGATGCAATTTATGATCAACATACTGACCGTGCACTGAATGTTCCAATTTTTGTTTGGTACGTATTTCATTCAATTGAGTTTGTAAATATCGCTCAATTTGAATTAAAAAGAGACCTTCAAATTTGTGCGTTGTGTAATGATCATTCCAGTTCATAAGGTAAGAAGCAACTTGAACTCCAGATAGCTCCTGTTGAGAAGCAAGAGTATTGTAACAGCGTAAAACGAGCTTGCATGACTTCTCAATTGCATTTTCCGTGTCTGTCTGATTCGATGAAGTCTTGAGTGATGTAATGTTTTTCTGTACAAGAGCAAATGTATCATGAAAAGACAGGCTCATTTTGTTACATAATCAGTAATATAATAAACAAGAGCCTTTGCATCGCTGCCACTCCAAATAAACTTAATATCCATGTTCGACCGGCAAGCTGTGATGAAATATTCATTAAAATTGTTGATCCATGGATCGGATCGTCGCATAGAAACATGACCAGTATCAGGATCGATTATCGAGACAGGTATCGCTGTGTTTGTGAATGTTGTTTGCTTCAACGAGTTGCACCACATCTGCACGAAATTGTGCTGCAAAATTAAGCGATGATGGATTAGGAGTAGGCAACCAAGCTGGAATTAATTTCGATACATTATGTGAAGCATTCGTAACTAAAACATGATTCCTATTTTGTCCGTTTTCATGGTAACTATTTCTTACCAGATTTTAATCGATCATGCGTTGGTGTTTGTAACAATATATTTGCCGATGGAGAAGCATGAAAAATTGATGAAGAAGATAATTCTTTCATCGATGTTGATAGAATACCAGATTCATATATATTTTGCTTAAAGCCTGATAAATCCATGGTACTTATGGCCGCATATATATTATCTCGTGTTAATCGCGATGGAATGCTCCATGTATTTGCCACTATAGTATAGAGCAAAATATTACATTTAGATAAAAAGAAAACTCACTTTACCGTCGAAATTCTCAAATACATATTCGTCTTTAAATTGGTCTAAATCTTCTTTGATAATGTCTTCTAAATATGCTTTTAATTTTTCACGAAAGTCAGTATTCCGAATGTTTTCTTTCATATCAACTGGCTTCATGTCAT